ATATTATTTAAATTGACAAGGTCAAGAAATAATGAAATACAAGAAAGAGAGAGAGAGAGAAAGAGAGAAAATAAAGATATGGGAGGGAGGGAGAGAGGGGGAGTGAGAGAGATAAGGAAAAAAAAGAAATATAAGGAAGGAGAAAGAAAGAGAGAGATGGGGAGTGAGAGTGAGAGAAAGGGAGAAAAAGAAATAGAAGGGTAGAGAGAGAGAAAGAGAGAGAGAGGGAGAGGGAGGAAGAGAGGGGAGTGAGAGTGAGCATGCAAGAGAGAAAGAGAGATATTTTTTGTTTTAAAAAAGGATATTGTAGTCTTTTTATATACATTAAACATTTTTCCTAATTTGGGATAGTTGGATTCCCACCCTATGAAAATATTTTTGTGGAAAAGTAGGATAAAAATGGTTCTTAAGAAACTAAATTACTAAGAATTTTTTTTTTTAAAATAGTTATCAAACATAGAAAATTAAAATTCACACTTTAAAATTTTCAAGAATATAAAAACATTCTGGATATCAAACACTCTTATATGTTTTATCTTAAATAATGAATAAAGATGTAAAACCTTTAACAAGATTTATCAAGGAGACTTATTATAAGTTGCTGTTTTTGTTTTTCAAAAAATTTATTATATTTATTTATTAAATCTTTTGGAATAGAAGAGTGACACAGAAATTACTATTTCTTTTAAAAAAAAAGCTAATTTAAACAAATATGTTAAAAAAATAGAGATGTATTTTTTTTAACAAACGAACTAAATATTTATTTGAAATAAATTCAATATGAATTAATCTAACAAAGTCCAATATAGTAATTGATAAATATTTAATTTTCTTAAATATGTTATTAAGCACTTGATTATGATTGTATATAAAAAGTAATTTTAATAATTTTTATAATTAGAAACTTAGTCTCTCGTTAATGATCGAGAGATATCCTTACATATATTAAAGAAAATAGATATTTCGTATTTCTAAATATTTTTAAAAGTAAAATAAATAAATAAATAAATAATAATAATATAAAAAATTATTTAGAATTAGTCAATAATAATTACTAATTTTTTTTAATAATTAAGAATATAATAATGATCTACGAATTGTTGAGAAAAAAAGGAGAAGGAAAATTGTATATATTAGGATAGATATAGACACCCGCGTGCGTGATCGTGAAACTTAAAAGTTAAAACTTAAAAGCTACACGTTAGTATGACTCCACTTTTTGTTTGTCTCCGAGGACAGTTAACCATAAAGGGCATGTTTGGTTTTGGAGGTAAAACAGTCTGGTTTGCACGTAAAAGAAAAATAGAACCGAAGCAATGTATCCTTTTGAAAACATTTGTTAGTGGTACTCTTTTAACTTTTCGTATACAACTAATTTCTCTGCACTCCATATTTTGCTCTTATTTTATAATTTTTCTTTAGAAATTTTGTTCAATAAAATGAGAAATATGAAGAAATTAAGTAAGTAGATCGTATGATAAAATAATTGATGTGATGCAGATGATTGGTGGTATGTTTGGTTCATGAATAAAAAGTGAAAGAAAATAAAAAAAAGTAAGCAAATAAATAAACAAATAAAAAATAGGATATTTGATAAAGGTAATGTTATAAAAATTGAACTAATATAAGTATTTGTTTGATAGTTTATTAGTCAAACTAGAGGTCACTTGTTTAATCAATTAAAATAGTTTATATTTAATTTTTTTAAAAATAATATAATTAATTTTTATATATTAAATAAGAATAATTATTTCATGTGAAAATATTTTTAGAGTTATATGATAGAAGCGTTTTTAAGAATTCTTTCAACTACTTATGTAATTTAATTATGAATTAAAATATAATATTTTTAGATAAAT